ATGCTTGTTGTATTACATATTGATATCTTCAAAGTGGTTTCTCATGAAAACAGATAGAGACATGCAATATTGATCAATCAAGGACTCACTGACAGTTTCTTTCAGCAAAGTAATAGAAGACAGTAGAACAACTATGTTAACTATCCTGTATATACATACACACATAATTTTTCCTTCTTTCCCTTCTCTTTTCCCACATCCCAGTTGCTCTTTACCCTTGAGTACTTTCAATGGAATTTTTAATCTCCTGGATATCTGCTCAAATCTGTTTTATGGATTCTGTTTCTTTCTTATGTTGGCTATTCATGGTTTCCATCATTTTCTCAATCTCCTCTATTTTTATCTATATCTGCTGTAGAGTCACTAAGCATGTTTTTCATTGTGGTCACCATCTCTGTAGTTATCTGAGAAATTATTTTTCATTTTGTTTTTCTAAACCCTCCTTCATTTGTTTTGTTTTTACCCCTTCAGAGATGTCAGGTGGGTGGCTTTTGGATTTTCCTACCTCACTGTCCTCTGCATTTGCCTTTGGTGAACTGGATGTCTGGAGTAGCATTTTGTTTAAGTGTTTTTTCATTTTTGGTTTTTTTGTTGTTGTAGTTTTTGTTTTTGTTTTTTTAGGTTAATTCCTGGGTTGATGCTTGTAAATTGCCTATAGTGAGTTGCTTTATGGCTAGTATTAGAACCTTTAGGAAATAACTACTTCTTAGAAGTGTCTTCCAGGTGTAGCTGGTTTTTGGGTTCTCAGTCTATTGCAAGATCCTACTTCTTCAATTTTTGGGGGATGAGAAGTTGCTGCCTGCTTGGTCCAGCCCCTGGTTCTTTGGCACTGGCTCACAATATTTTCTATGGCACTTAGTCAATCTGAGTCTTGGTATACCAGGAAGAACAGATGGTTAGAACAGTTATGTCACTTTAGCTAAAGTGGTACAATCAGCAAAAACAGTAGTATCAAACACAGCCTAGAAAATGACAAACTTAAGTAACCATTCATTTTTGGCACCTTTAACTGAATGAACTAGATTTGTAGTCATATAACAAAATCTAAAATAAATCGGAAGATTGTATGCAGTAAATAAGCCCTCAGTGTACCAAGTTTACCCTCAAGGGAGAAAATTTAAAAGGGGTTGGTGGAAATACAGAAATAAAAGAAGAAGAAGAGATTAGAAGCAAGGCTGGAGGACAAAGGAGGATCATGAAAACTTTGGAAAACTCGTACAGAAAACAGGAGGGAAAGACATAAGAAATAAAAGGAAGAACAGAACAACAACAAAAAATTAGAAACCACATTCACACTCATAGAAAAACAAGATCAAACAATGAAGGGAAGAAAACAAAAAAGGAAAAAAGAAAAACAAAAGGGAGAGAAGGAGTGAGAGAAAAAGTAGAGAAAGAGAGAGAGAATCCTGTTCAAGGTTTGTCTCTTCTGTCCCTGGTAGACAATGTGTGCAGACAGAGTCCAGATCTGTGATTTAAGCCATTAACAGCTTATGGCAGGCATTGGACAATCTCAGCAAGCATCTTTATTCCCCCTGAAGTTCATGCTTATTTCATTAAGTTCATGCTTATATGAGGCTGGGACCAGACCTGTTAGCCTGCAGGAGTCAGTGCACCTTCTGTGGGCTTGAACTCAGCTGGGAACCACTAGGTGAACCTAGCAGTTGTTCTGAATTCCAAGCTCAGTTGGTCCCACTCCAAGATGGCTTCCAGACAGTCACCCTCTCTTATGGGATGTCTGATTCCTTACCATGCACCCCAAGCCAGTGCAGTTCTTCATGACCACTGCTGTGTCTCTCCATGGAGGCCTCTGGGGTTGCCAGAAGTCACTGTATGTCTGCAGGTGTGAACTCCTGACTCACAGAGAAGGTTCTTCTGGCTACCTCCTTCTTCTTTGTTGAAGTTTCTTTCTTCACTCTCCCTGTGGGCTTCAATTCTCCTTTCAGATCCTTCCTGGGTCCATGGGACCTACTTCCCTCCTTCTTCTCTTCCTTGAGTTGCTATATTCTAGTGTCTGGACAGAAAATCTCAAAGAGGCTCTTTCTCTGCTGCTTACCATTCTCCCATCTTCCAGGAAGTCTCTAGACTCCATTTGAAAATAAAAGCTGACAGGGACATGTAGAATACATCATTCTACTATAAACACCCTTACAGTAAACATGGCTTCCATTTCAAAAGTAAATAGTAGAGTCAGGCAATGATTCTCACATTGGCTGCATGTCTTAATCACCTAGGAAACTTGGAGGAAAGAAATCACAGATTACTGGCTTCCACTCTAGACCTGCTGAAACAGAATCTCTAGGAAGAATGCCTAGGAATACTTTTTTGCTTGTTTTATGCCTTCCCTCTGCACACTTTTCCTGTTCCTTACCTCCCTTTCTTCTTCTGTTCCTTCTTTTTTAACATCTGTTTTAAAACTTCTCAAGTGCTGGTACAGACTGTCCAAGGCCAGGACATTTGGGACCCTTTGAACTAGAACGCGTGGGAAAATGATTACTCACTTAGCCTTCAGGGTATCTTCGGTGAGTTTGTGCCATTACTAATCAGAGTTTGAACTTGTGCTTTCTAACAAGTAATAAATATAACTCTTCTAGGTGGTAAGTTAAAAGCAGAACAATGTGCCTCTTTCAGCAGTGGAGCTGGGATAGGTTTGACAATCTCTGGTCAAAACTGAAGGACCTGACTTACCTGTGTTTGATTATGTGCAGCAGGTCACCTCCGTGCTACTTTGTAGTGAGCTATGGGGAGCTGTAGGCTGGGATACATTCACTTTAGACAGTAAGTTGGTGTTTATTCTACCTAAGCAGATGAGAGTAACATCAAGGCCTCAGATTTCTTTTACCGATAGCATAAAGATAAAAATTTTCACCTAGGAGGTTTTAAAAGCAGGCTTAACTAAATGTCTACTTTGAGAATGAAAGAAAAGAAAAGGAAGATAAGAGTAGGAGAACAAGCAAGCATGGGTCTACTGAATATCTTAATAGGGCATGCAGCTAGAAGCAGGAGTACTTGGTGGTCTTCCCTCCTTCTCTAGGATAAGTCATTTGAAAAATAAATACCAATAAAATTGAATATAATGGAGAGAATGAACTGGGCATGCCTAAAGGAAAAAAATTAAAGGAGATGATATTTGGGCTAGAGTTTGAAAGGTAAGTAGAAATACACAGAAAACTATGGAGGATGGATATGTACCCTTGAACAAAGAACCAAGGCATGGAGAAGAGGCTATGGAAGAGTCATGAACTTGTGCAATAGACTCTTTAGGGCAAGCAAACTTCTAGCAGGAAAGATATAGCCAAACTGGTGTTACAAATGTGGCAAGATTGTGAGCACTACCACATGGACTGTATTAGTCAGGGAACATGGAATCCTTAGACCAACCACAACTACAGTACTACTTTAGCCTAAAAGGCCTGCTTTGGCACTTTAGGCTAAAGTAGCAATGTACCTACCTTATATCCTAGCTTCTAGTACAGAGGTGCTGAACCGATGGCATGCATGTTGCAGTAGGCTGTTTGTATCATTGAAAGCTCTAATAGGTTCACCCTCACTGTTCTAGAACCTACAATTAATCCTGTTCTTCATCCCCAGATCGCAGTGGCTATACTGTCATGAGCCACTAACCCATGTTCCCATAGATTCCTCCTACTCAACATCCACTTAGGGAACGCATTCCTTCTCTCTACGTCTCCACTGTGTAACCATCACTTCCATCAGTGCACTCACATGCAGACCACTGAGCAAGGTCCTCAGGCTAGCCAACAGTCAATCGTATCCAGTCATTGTTGCCAGCCTTTTCTCTTATGTGTGATGAAAGTGAGGATCTCTTCATTTTTTGTCCCTTTTGCTTCCCATTTATATACCTAATGGTAGAATGACAATTGAATGACACCACTATCTCATTCTAGTACCTTCTACAACACCTTTTAAAAATTATCTAAAAAATGAGTATATAAACACTCACTGCTCTGGCATTTTTAAATGTTATGTACAGGTACCAACTCCCCATGATGAATGTCACCATAATGTACTACAAATAAGTACTAATATTTTTTTTTCCTTTGGTACTGGAAATTGAACTCAGGACCTTACATTTGCCAGGCAGGCACTTATGACACTGAGCTATATCCCTGGCCAGTACTAATATTTTTTTAAAAAAATAAAAGCTAAAAACAATATTGGAGAAACCAAAAAATGAGTAGAAGTTCATCAAAATGAGAAGGGTACAGAGGACATTCCACAGTTACAGAACAGCTTATGCACCACAGGTTCAGAAGTGATTAGTGTTCCACTTTAGCTAGAACATTTGAACAAGTGGAGAGAAGATAGGCTGAAGGTGAGATCAGGGAAATGGACTTGGGTCAGATCATGAAAATCTTGTACAACATATTAAGGTGTTTAGTCTTTCTACGGTAGTTCTACTGGAGAAGGGGTCATAGGTGATGGTTAAATATGACAATGCATATTCGGAAATGACTGCATTGTGTATACATTTCACTGATGGTAAATGGAGAAAACACACGAGAGAATAAAGACTGGAGGCAGGGAGATGAGTAAGGAAACTGATTATTCTGTCAAGAGTTGATGAAGTCTTGGCCTGTGGCATTGGCAGTGGGAATGCAGTAGAAGGGACAAATTTGACATAGGGTGAGGAAGCTACTGTGTAACTCTAGTAGGGAGCATCCAAATATAACACAATAAGAGTATGACTAGTAGCACTTTGGGAGAAGAGCCCTAATATTTGGTGATAATTGAAATAATGGGCGAGAATAAGATCATTCAGCAATAGTTATAAATAGCTTCAAGAGAGAAAAAAAAATAGAAGCCTGAGGACATGACTGTTGGAACCAGCTGCTGGGTGGGATGCTCTATTTACACTACAGGGAAATTTATTCTCCAGGATTGTCTCTTCCTCCCAGTTGTTCCCAGACCAGTGTAATTTAGGATTAATCTGAACACATGAAGAGACTGGGGAAAGCAGGTTTGGTCTTCAAAACAAAGATGAGATCATCTTTTACATGGTACTTGCTCTGACCTCTTGCCTTTCTCACCATTAGAGATGATCACAGAATGCAGTTTGTGATCTTGGGCAAATTCTCTAGGATCTTCTATCCTCCCATTGTCTACTTCTTAAAGGGTTATTCTGCCACCTGTCTTTGTGTCGGGGACACTGGGCTCTCTAAATCTACCAGAGAAGTTGGCCAACTGTAAATACTCTCTAAAACATCTGCACAGAATCACTTTCCCAGTTTCCAAATGATTTGTTTGACATTGGCCTGGAGGGCTTCTCCATCTCCTTTCTTTGCCTTTCCTGTCCTGTTCTAGAGCCTTACTCAAATATCTTTGTTCTTTTGCCCACAGTTCTCAAGGTAGACTTCCTGGAGATGAGAGTTGAGGCCACAGGTATGTAATCTCTACCCCTGGTTATAGAATCTTCAAGTAAGCCTCCTTTATGGACCTTGAATTTTTGAGGACTGGGTTACCATGTAAATCCAGAGAGTAAAGACTCACCTCTGTGCCTCTGTTCATTACTCTAAAATTGCGTGACACTTAAAATTAGTTCCTTTCAATTCTGAGGTTTTACGTGATTTAAGTCACCTTCCCCTTTCCTTTCTTTCTCTCCCAGCTGAACTGTAGTATAGTTTTATGGGTTGCCTTTGAATTGAATCCATTAGGAATCCTAGTCTGTAATATTTTGGGCAAGTACATTTGCTTTTGTAAATTTCAGTTTCTTGGTCTGTAAAATGAGTAACTGGAACCTTCTCACTCTGACAGCTGTTAGATTCATAAGGAAACCAGAAACTTCCTTTTTGGTATTGTAACAGGTATCTAGAGGCTACCTCAGTGTCTATAGAGGGACCTCATCCCTTCAGACCATATAACTATTTCAATAATAACCATGTGAGCCTTCATCCTTAGTCCTTTATATTTGCACAGTGCAGAGTGCTTTCATATCCATTATCCATTTCCATACAAATCACATGCCAGAAGTAAGGAGGGTAATGTATGTTATAATTCAAATAAATGAAATTCAGAGGAGATAAGTCACTTGCCAAGGTCATAGGAGAATTGGAGGCCAGGGAAATGCCTTTCTCTACCCTGGAGTTCTGATTGCTTATCAGATTTCTGATATGATATGGACTAATGTACACATAAATGAGTCCCATGTGTCTGGAGATTGTCTTGCCATTTGATCCTTAGTCTTCCTTTTCTTCCTATCTCTGCTAGTCCTCAGGGCTCCATGGGTAAACAACCTGCTCTTTACCAGCCCCCATAAAGGTGAAGTCCCAGTAAAAAGAATATTGGAGATATTGTAGGGCCATTAAAAAATGGTCCTGATGCACGTGGGAGTAATCTCACAGATGTCTACTTTCCTTGGTAAGCTTTTTGGAAATCAGAGTTGAAACCAAACGCGTAAAATCTCCAGCTTTGACTACAGCATAATCTTGGGACTGTTTTATGGGATCTGAGCTGTAAGGACCTTTTCCCAGCCAACCTCTATTGCTCAGAAGATTAGCTACCAATTGTCCGCTTAGCTACATACCAAGAGAGGGCCCATAGTTCAGTGGCTATTAAGTGTTTAGCCAGTCATGCTAATTCCATACTCTTTTCTTTCCCTTTCAGATTTTAAAAGCCTTGGCCTCGGGGGCCCTTTTCCAGGTTCTGAAAGGGTCTACTTCAAAACCTCCTCTGCTGAATCATTCTGTGCTGAAGAGCAGCTCCCTCCCAGCCGTTCACCTTAAGGCTCTGGGAATTCATAAAATAAGGGGCACATGTCTTAGATACATGTTTATTTCTCCTTTGTATTCTGTTTTCATCCCCTCAGAAGGTCCATCTCAGCTCTTGCAACACTGTGAAATGGCTGGATTCCCTCTGCCAAAGCCAAGATACCCGCTGATGAGTTGAAGAGGGGAGCCAAGTTTTCAACTCTTTCTGAACTTCCTGCTTCCTCAAAAGGCCATTGAACTTGGAAAGATTCAGGGCTAAAGCTCTACCTGAGGGGTCTTACACTCCACTAAAGGCCACTTGAATTGGGGCCATTGCTTACTTTGGTTGGAGGGGTGTAAGAATGTTTGCTGAACATTGGAGAATCTTAACATGTCTCTTGCTTAGGATATGGACACTGGTGCCAGGTTGGTGTTCTGGTGCTGCAACATGTTGCCAAGAACCTGTCTTCTCCTGTGGGATTGGGTGGCCTGAGTGATACCCCCATGGGATCCTCCTCTCATGTGAACTTAAGAACGTGGCCTACCTGCTCTTGCATACAGTGACTTAGGACAAATCTGCAAAGCATATTTTACGTATCAAAGTCTAGGTCTGTTTTGATTTTGTTCCTCCCATCTTCATCTTCACCTGACAGCTTCATTTTTAAGCAATCAAGAATAACAAAAAAACCAAAAAACAAAATTGGAAAGCATTTCTTTAAAGAAAGCAGACTTTGTCCTGTAGGAGTTCCATTCTTGGGTCAAATGCTAGAAAAAATTGTTAAAATGGTTTGAGATGAAGCAGCTGTTGGTGTTGTTTCATTTTTGTCTTTTACTGATAAGCTCTTTTTATCTTCTAAAAAAACAATTCTTAACCCAGTGCCCATGGATTCAAGAATTCCGTAATGCCCCTGAGATGATATATGTACTTCCATGGCAGTATGCCTTTATGGGCAGAAGAGTTTCCAGTGAGCCTGTGACCCAATAAATGTTCAGAACCACAATACCTGAGATAAAAGATTCTTTTTGGTACCCGTAAAGTACTTTATTAGAAGGGCCTTTCAAAAGCGTTTAGTCCACTAGCCTAGTTTACTGGCAGAGGAAAGTTAGTGGCCACAGCAAAACAAGATCTCAGTTCCCCAAGCTCCTAAGCAATGTTGTTTCTTTTTTTTTTTTTTTTTTTGTTTTTTTTGTTTTTCTCCGGTACCGGGAACTGAACTCAGGACCTTGCGCTTGCCAGGAAGGCGCTTTTACCGCTGAGCTAAGTCCCCAGCCCCGCAATGTTGTTTCTATTACACCACACTTACATAGCAAAGATCCTCATGTTTGGTGACTTTTGTGGTCATTATTTTGGGGATTTGGCTTTACCATCTTTATTGAGCCCCATGTATTTGCTACCAATTTACCGTCTCAACCACTGGAAGGCAGCTAAATAAAAATCAGTGCAGTGGATCAGAAATCTGAGGAATAGACCTTTCTGGATCCTGTGTGATAAAGGGAAGCTGCTAGAAAGAGTGTCAAAGTTTGTGTTCCCTTTAGATTCATGGGCCATTGCCTGTCTTTAGGGCGTATATAATTATAATGTGGTCCAGTATAAGAGAAAGGACTTTCTGACTTGCTATAGTCTAGCAAGGCCCTGCTAGTTCACTTGGTGAGGGAGAGGAAAAAGCACATATTTTCAAGCCTACATGCCTTTGGACAGTGCTACTGAAAAGTGGTAGTCATTTTTAAGACTGGACTCCAAAAATACTTTATTCATGAGTTAGGAACATGACCAAACATAGTGAAAGCCTTTGTGAATGTAATTAACTAGAAGCTTAATCCATTTTAAATCAAGACATGCCCACATGGCCACAATGAACTCTTTCTACCCAGTTGCTAAGAAATCAGGAGCAAGAGAGCCAAGTGGCCATTATTCCATCTGCTGCTTAGCCCCAAAGGTAGTCCCTGTGAGGCTTGCTGGCCTCTTGCTGAGCCCTAGTTGGTGACCTTTGTTATGACTGAAGTAGTTAGGTGTGCAGAATTTGACCACTGAAGCAATGACCAGTGGAACTTTAATATCTTTGAAGATTGTAGAGACATGGTTTGACTTTGGTTTTTCTTGGAGGAAAATGCCAACAATCACCACTACAAATACTGAGCATCATTGAAAGGCATAGAAAAGTACTACAGTCCCAGTGGAAGAGGTATCCAGAAACTCGGCAAGGAGATTGCTGTATTGGCTAGACCACAGCTAGCCTGGAGAGACTGGGCCACTAGTCTCACTGAAAGCCAGAGAACCGACTGGCTAGCTCTGCCCCTGCTCTGGGCAGTCCCTAAAGAATATACCACAGTGTCTCCTATTGGCACTCTGATATAAAGAGCAATAGCTTCTATTGCTATTTGGGGATGAGAATGGCTTGCCCTAGGCTTGATGGATGGTCATTCAGAACAGATTATAGCAAGAGGGTGATAATCAGATAGTGGCTGCTGTAGGAAATTATCAGCAACCTTGGCCCGTAGGTTAGAAAAACTGCCAGTGGGTGGACTATACTCGAACTGGCAGTGATAATAAAGAAGCTAACACTTATTAAATACCTATTAAGTGCTAGATGCTTCACATATGTTATCTCATTTCATCCTTGTAACAATCACATAAACAATCATCTCATTTTACAGATAAAGGAATTGTGGCCCAATGGGCTAAATAACACACACAAGGGTATAGATAGTAAATAATAGGTCTATGATTTGGATCCAAGAATCTCTGACTCTATACCCCATGCTATTTTCCCTTTGTCATGGTAAGGCAGGCATTTGAACAGAGGCCATATTACTGGATCTGGCATGACTCTTGCCTTTTGCCTGCTTAACATAATATTAAAAGGTAAGCATTTAAGAGAGGGAGGAGATGCAAGTCCTTACAGGGGAATGAAAACTGGCTGAAAGATATTCCAAAGTTGGGCTTCACCTTCAGTTTACCCACTTGGTAACGATTTTCTAAAAAAGCTTACCCAGTTTTCAAAGGGAAAAGGTCTTGTATATGACTCTGTACTTCGTGAATACTTTGCCAAGGTTATAGTATGTATAGCTTCAGTCCAGGAGATTGGTGACCTCCCCCCATAATGCAGTTTGAGAAACAGAAAAGGTTTCTATGCCTCTGGTATTTGATGACTTGAAGTCAGCCCTACAAAGTTTTTCTATGGTGACAACAAATGTCATGAGATGGTTTAAAAAAAGAAATATCACTGAATTTTTATTTTTGAGGTTTAACGAAAGGTGTGTGGGGCATGTCAAACCACTGAGAGGCAAAACTAGGCATCCAGTTTCAATAGTAAAATATTGTCATGTAAAATATTTCTAAAATACTGTCATAGGGAGGTAGCCTTCCATATTCAAGAAATTCCTTGATTCTGTAATAACTAGAACAAATAAAGTAATAGATGAATAGTTCTGTGACTGGAAAAAATTTTGTCTTTTGAGAGAATGTAGATCAGTGACACTACTATTAAAGTAGCTATAGACAAGTGGCCTTGACACATTAGAAGTCCACAAAAAGCTACAGAGAAACAAGATGACTTGAGATATTTTTAGTGAAGCAGAGTCTTCATTTTCACTGAAAAATGAAGCAGTTGATGATAAGGACATTAATAGAGCATGCAAAATGCTTCCTATGTGAAACATATGTGTGAAATAAGAAAAAAAATGACATATTTGGGGCCCATTCATGTGACTTTCAATAAAGTATATAGACTCTCTAGTATAAGTGGCCTTCATGTGCAGTTTTATCATGGAATTAGTCTTTGAGCCTATCAAGCACAATGGTACAGCTACTACCTGCTGCTCAGATTATCTTTTACAAATCCAAGGACACCGAGGCACGGAATTCTTTTTGGACCTAAGAAGCTCAATCTGCTATTTAATGAAAACATCTACAAGACTTGCTACTCAGAATGTGATCTTGGCATCAGTATTACCTGGAGCTTCTTAGAAATGCACATTCCCAGTGCCTAATCTAGACGTCTAAAATCAGAGTTTATATTTTAAGATCTCCAAGAGATTCCTATGTACACTGAATTCTGAGAAGCACCGGATAAGGCTGATCTTGTAAATTGAGATTGGTTACAAACATTGAGTACATAGCTATCTGCTTCTTGCATTGCTTTGCACATGTCCTTGTGCTTTGGTGAAAGTGAATGAAGTTTCTTCACCTCAGTAATGAATCCAATGAAACCAGCCTAGGGAATAAGACTGAAAGTTACTTGGCTTTCAAATTCTGTGTGGTAAAGACTGTGGAAAGGCAACAGGGGGGCAGTTGGAAAACTCCTTTCAAGAGCTTCAGGAGTCCTGATTGAGCTTTGACATGCTCCCTGCAATGCTGAGCAAGTCTCTTTCTGCCTAGGCTTCAAATTGTTTATCTTTAAACCAGGTAATTCAAAGGGCTTTTACACCTTGACATTCTGTTATTCTAAGGCATGAATCTTGCCAAAGTCTTCATTGTAATGAAAACAGACAACTCTGCTGGTCTTTGGCCATAGTTAACAATCTTTAATTCACGTAAGAAAGGGTATTCCAGGAGGAAATTTCACAGTAATGGCAAAGCAACATTAATGGAAACTTCAAGGTACTAGAAGAGACATGACTAGGTCAACAACTCGAAATTAACCAGTTCTTACAGAACATCCATACTGTTTTGAGATGCAGCGGTCTCAAACCATACTTGAGAAATCAACTCATATTCCATGATCTTTGCATGATCTAGTAAGACTAACTCTGCCTTTTAGGAGATAGTGTTTTAGGGGATAGAGGGGATGTATAAAAGAGGTAAACTCTTGTTCCCCCACCATCTCTTTAATGTGAGTGAGTCTGATGCCTATTATATGAACACCATTAGCTATAAATTAACCTCTTGGAGATGGAGAAACAAATTTAAAAGTGAGAATGGTACCTGACTAAGGGCATACACCAGAGCCAAAGGCAGAAAACAGGTGCTCTTACTGCCAGTACAAAGGTATTTCAGCCCTACTTTTTGGGGTGATCAATATACCAGAATCTAGATACCTGCTTCTAGCAGCAGGCCTCACACTAGGGAAGAATGATAGGGTTCCCACCCGGAAGCTTTGTCTCCATCACATACTCATTGATTCACTTAAATCTCATGCAGCTATGTCATCCCCATATTATTGAGACAGAGGAATGACGTACCATGCCCAAAGTCACATAGGCAGGAAATAGAGTGTCCTTTAAGTTGTCTGGTTTCTCTTTTGCTCTACTACTTCTCAAGGGGAGAAGCAGCCCTTCAAATGCTGAGTTCTTCTCATGCGAAATATAATAGGCTGTAAGTTCTTAATTGCTTCAATTCAGTTGCTTCAAAGTATTTTTTTTTTCTTGGAGCATCTAACCTTTGTTTGACTTGAAATTTTACAGAACACTCTTAGGTTTCATAAATCATTTTGTCCTCAGAACAGCCCTATAAGATAAGAAGGACAAAATATTTCACCCTCATATGACAGACACACAAGTTGAATCCCAGCAGCAAGGCATAAATCTTCTATTGCTGTTGTAGGAAATCACAAATTTAGCAATTTACAATAACATGTATATGTCATCTCATAGTTTTTATGATCAGAAGTTTGTGATAGCCTGGCTAGATTCTCTGCTTAGGTTGTCACTAAGCTAAAGGCAAAGTCAGATGGCCTATGGTTACCATGTGAGGCTCAGGGTTCTCTTCCTACCTCAGTGGTTGTTAGAAGAATTCCCTTATGTTGTGGCACTGAGCTGCTGACTTTACGGACATGTGTTTTCTTCCATATTCATGTCAACAACAATGTGTCAAATTCTTTTGCTTCTGCTTCATTTCTCTTGATTTCCTTTGCTGACTCTTCTGTTTATTGTTTAACCCACAACTGGAATGATTCCATTGGGCCCACTCAAATCATCCTGGATTGTCTCCCCAACTTTTTGATCTCTCTATCTTAAAGTCAACACTTTAATCACATCTTTAACATCCCTTTTGCCATGTAATCACAGTTGTGGACAGGCCCCACCCCAATATAGTTTCCAGAACCATCAGGATGTGAGATAGGTGGGGCATAGACAACCTGAGTCTTGACAGTTCCTTGTCTCTTCCTTGTAACTGCTGTCATCGTGTGAGACTCAGAATTATCTCTCCCTTCTGGGCCTGAAGGCTAGAGCTTAAATAAACTGATTTCCTCTGTTGCTCCCTTGGTGTTCTTTGCGAGGCACTGCCAATCAGACACTGACCTCTAATCTCCAAGCCCTAAAGGAACACAAGTACCGTTGCTATAGGCATTTATGCTTTAATTCATACATCATAACTTTCCTTCTCATTCCTCATGTTCCTCTGTTTCCATGGGTAAGAGCAAAGATTTCCATGGATAAGCAAAAAGGGACCTAGAGACAGATTGTGGAAATTTATTCCCACTTTGCCACTTGGAAGCTATACCAAGATGGATGAGTTACTTCATCCAAATATCCATGGTTGGCCATTAATGAGTACTCAGTTAATGCTAATCAATGGGAGTAGCAGTGGTAGTGGTAACAATTGCCTCAGTTACTATCCAGGAGTGGACTCTTCTATATATCCATCCAGGGCAGTGTACTGAACTCTACTGCGCAAGAAGATCCTCCTGAATGTCGACCACTATCAAATTTGTAGATCCTTGTATGACGTAATCTGCCTCTTAGAAAAATGTCCCTTGGCCTCAAGACTAACCATCCTACCCCTATCTCTCTACCTCTGTCTAAGTTGTTCCCATGTATGTTATGCCTTTCTGTCCTTGTTCTATCATGAAGGAAATCATGACAGCCTGGGCCCATTACTCTGCCCTGTGCATGTTCCAATAATGAGACCTGGAAGACTTCTAGGTTTTGAAGTCTGACAAGGCCTTCTTACGATAGTTCAGCTCCTAGTGGTGTGACTGACACATTTACCCTCCTAAGCATCCCTCCTATTGTGGGAAGCAGTTATTTCTCCCACACTGCATTAGTATCCTTTCCTACTGCATCTTACACTGTTGTTTTCATTGCAGTTGTGCTATGGTGTTCCTTTAAAGGCCCTCAGAAAGGGGATGGGTAGGTGCTAGAGTGAAGAGAAGAGAAACTGCCCTGCTGCTGGCTGATTTCACACTTCACCTGGGACTCTTCTCTGTCTAAGGTATATTTATATCCAATGAGAAATCACATTTTCCCTGAAGTGAAGAAGACATTACAAAATGTCTTAAGAAATAGATCTAAAAAGCCTTTAAATTGATTTAAAGAGTTCTGGGCAAAAGCATAGCAGACAAGTAGTTAGGCTAGTTCCATTGTGCCAAAGGCAGATGAGAAAACTCAGCTCTGATGACAAAGGGACAAGATATGAGAATCAGATCTACAGCCTTTGCATGAGTTGTGCTTCTAGAACTTATGGCCTTGGGGGTTGAAAGAGGACTTGCTGGGGAGTTGTAGTCCTCTGAGACCGAAGAAAAGAAACAAATGTTCAATATCTATTGTATACAAAGCATCAAGTGGAAAAGGCCTGGACTCTTGGTCATTCCCAGTGGATCTAGGACTAGATTTAAGATGGCAGTTGGGTGAAAACATTGCTACCACCTGCCATACATATTGCATATATTTTATTTGTGCCACACTTCACAAGTTGTCCTATTATCTGCAAGTGAATCAACAGCCTTTTTCCAACTCTGAAGGAAAAACTGATTTCCTTTTAAGAAGATACTTCTTGAATTACTTCCTTTCTTTTCCTCTGTAAATCTGAGAAAGAGTTGTATTTTGAAGGGGTGGAAATGTTTCCACATCAGTTCAACAAATATATGGTACTCTGTATCTACCACTGCTCTCTGTGCTTTACAAATATGAATGCATTTAATCCTCACTGTAACCCTGTGAAGTAGGCATTATTATCATTATCACTATAAAGGTGAAGAAAGTGAAAGACAGAATAAATGACTTCCACAATGTCTTATAGCTACGAAGTGATAGAGCCAGGATTCAAACACAGCCATCCAACTCTGAGCTTTTAACTGCTATGTTACACTCCCCGCGTAGTATGAGAACAAAGAATATGTGTTTTGGTAGTCAGACTTAGCCTGGATTCCAGTGCCTGTTTTGACACTTGCTAGTTATACCCTGGCATGTTAATTAACCCCACTAGGACTTAGTTTCCTCACTTGTAGCATAACACAAGGTTCTCAGATTTGTAATGAAGAATCAACAGAAACTACCTAGCCTAGAGATGCTATTTGAAGTCGATTCTTCTATTCATTTTCCTGAAGCTGGGCATCAAACTTTGATTTGGTATCTAGACTCACTGATTAAATCAATTTAGCCTATGTCTGTGCTCAGTAAGCATGGGTTAGCACTGTCAGTGATATTTAATCCTACAGGAATGCCAGATTTTTATCAGCGGAGTTAATGAGACTGGCATTTCTGAAGATGGGATTCTATCAGAATTAATTAGCCAAATGGTTTTGTGTCTGTCTAGTCTAAGGGAAGACATGGTCAGTAGGAGGTACATTTGCAAGAAAAGATGACATTTTCTGGAGCCAAGAGGTCTCAATCATACCCCTGCATATATACAAAGGATTCCTCTGGTCGTAAGTCTGCCGCCAGCACCTTTACTTAATAAATTGGCCAGTGGGCTTATCTGGAGTTGGCTGTTCACCCCACAGATTTTACATGATCCTTGGGCTGAAAGATACCCAGGGGGTCATGTAGACCAATTCACCATCTAATTGGGTATAGTGAAAT